ATATGAAATTATTTTACAAATTTTAAACTGAATTTAGTTAATTTGAAAAGTCAGTGGATCAAAAGTGGTCAAATGAATAATTCTTACTTGTTAATAAATTTATAACCACAAAGAAAAACTCAACTTACCTCAAACAAGAACTCATGTTCAAATCTTGCAAATGAACGAATAGACATTAGGTGAACTCGTTGTCTTGTAAAATTCAACTATAATTTAATTCTAAATTGGCCAAAAATTTAATACAACTATCAATTATCAAAATTTATTTAGCAATGTACCAAAACATTCTAGATTATGTGTTGCTTGCATCAAAAGTGAATGTGTGGGGTGTGGAAACAACAACCAAAAGCAAAATTATTATGTATGTTGCCAATCCAAATTAAACAAAGTCAGACAAACTTAATTATCTGGAAATTTCTCTACTTCAATTCTTCCATAATCATACAAGTTCTTGTGTGAATAGAGATTGAGTAAACATTGTTTGCACGGGTTCAGCTCACTGATTTAGTAAATAGTTTAGGAGAAGAGACTAAAATTCGAACTTCGGCAACGGCAGTGTAGAGATTATGCTTAAAGTGCGCAAATTCTTTGTGTGCACCGGCATTTGACCCTGTCTGCTGAGCCATTGAGTCGTCGTGATTCACATCCTCCCAAATGTTCTGTTGGGACGAGATGTGTGGGCCCTTGGGATTGGGGATTCAACCTTTTTGGAAAAAGAGATAGAGAAAACATTAGGCTTCTTCCAGAAGAAATGGTATGCAATTAATTAGGAATTATAATATAATTGAATTTAATTACAATATTTAAGAAAAATTTGGTGGATCATTCTGACTTTGTCGATTTCCTGTAACGTATATGAATCATATCCGACTTGTAATTAGTTAATGCCCAAATAAAAATTTAGATTATAGTAATTAAGCACTTAGGTACAGCGTAACATTTGCTAGCTAGTTGCTAATTAAATTATAGAAAGAGAGACCCTTTCCACACTCTTTGACATTTGCAGGGGCATAGATAGTGTCAGTCCGGCAAATTGGACAAACACTATCTACCACCAACCCCTGACCTGGCCGGATTTAATAGACAAATGCACCCCTAATCTTAACTACAAATTATAATTTCATCATATTTCGGATTTTACCAATAATATATATATATATATATATATATATATATATATATATATATATATATATTCCAATGGTGTATAGTTGTGTATATTATTTAACATAATTTTGATGATAGAGAATATTGATATTTGGAATTCTACTATACGCATTTTCATTTTACTTATTACTGGCTAATAGTACTAAAAATTTATTATTGGCGCTGTTTGGTAAAACTTATAGCTTATTTTATGCAATAAATAAGCTATAGAGGGTGTTTGGCAAATGGTTGATAGCTGATCGAATTAGATGATAGCTAATAGCTGATTGTGTTAGTTGGTTTGACCAACTGATTGTATTAGCTGGTTATAAAAAAATGTTTGGTAAATTAGCTGATTACTATTAGCTATACCAACAATCTCTTTTACCAAACACTAATTTTAGCTGATTGACCAAGTCAATCAGCTAAAATTGGTCAAATCAGCTGAAAAATGGTTGATAAGCTGATAACCAAACACCCCCATAAGCTTTGTTCGGTCAATTTATCTGTTACTTTTGACTTGTTTAACCACTATTAACTGTTTAGCTTGGTTAAATAGTCAATATAAGTGTTTTATTAATTAACTTTTTATATCAGTTTATTGCTTAAAAATACTAAAATTCAAACAGCTGCTCAAAGTAGTTTCTTCGATCGGCTTTTTTAGAAAGTCATTGTGCATGTAATCAGATATTAGCTAATTACCAAATATCTTTCTACAATCAACTAATGTTATCAACTAGTCAAACGCAGTAACCCAATCAGCAAACTGTTATTTACCGAACACCCCCAATATATCTAACTATTAGCTTAAACAGAACACATCTTTCAATTCCCGTGACTAGAATATTGGAATATTCCTCCCTAAAATGCCCTCAATAGTTTCTTAGTATTTGATACAAAGAATGTGTAATGCAATACTGAAAACAAAGGGGTTGACTTGGTGCAGCTGCTAAATAACCCGGGTCAAAGTCAAAGGAATTTGTTAGAAAGGTGTTGGTATGGGGGTGTTTTTGTAATTTGACGTGGGGCGGAGCATAAGAGAGAATGTCAGAGTTCAGAAAGAATCAACAATTTCTCCTCCCATTTGAAACTGTCAGCCAACAAACCAAACCCCCTAAAAAAAAACTAAGTCCAAAACCAAAATAACAAAAACCCATTCCAACAATGCCCATAACATCATCTTCTTCACCTTCTAACTCTCAAAGCTTCCATCCATGGCTGCCAAATTCTCTTCATCAATGAATCTCCATTCCCTCTTCTCCTTTCTCATCATTCTCTCTGCAATTCCTCTCTGTTTCTCTCAGCCACAAAACATCCAGACTTTCTACCCCTTCGCCCTGCCTAAGCTCCGGCCGCCGCCGATTCGAACTACCCCGGTTCAACCGCCGTCGCCTCCGCCGTTACTTCCGCCGTCTCCGTCGCCTCCGCCGCCGCCGCCATTGTTGTCTCCACAGCCATCGTCGACGAAGAAGGCGGTTGGGACTGCGATCGGAGCTACTGCGGCAGGGGTGCTAGTTCTGTCGGGGATTTTCTTCGTCATTTTCGTTAGGTATTGGCGGAGTAGGAGGGAGAGAGGCGGTGAAACTGCTGCGACTAATCCTTATGCTGATCCTTACCCTAATAGTAGGGATGGAGGTCGTCGAGACGAGTTTTCGAGGTTTGGAGGGAATGTGAAGGGGGTGATTGTTGATGAGGAAGGGCTGGATGTGCTGTACTGGAGGAAACTGGAGAGTGGAGAAGCGAAAGAGAGCTTCAAACGACAGGTTTTCAACAATGGCGAGAAAGTGGAAGAGAAAAGGATGGTTAGGAGAGAGAGTAGCAAGAGGAAAGGTAGTGGAACGCCGATTCATGAAATTCCTCTGCTTAGAGGCAGGTCTTCAACCTCTCAGGATCCTGCTTGGAATATCCCGCCTACTTCTGCTGCAATGGAGAAACAACACTCTCTAATCCAACGAGAATCGCGTTCTCCGCCTTTGCCTCCTTCTCCTCCTCCTCCTCCTCCACCGCCATTGCCTCTTCAGGCAATTTCAAGTTCTCCACCTCCACCTCCTCCTCCGCCGCCGCCGCCGCCAGTAGCTCCACCATTGTCTGTTCAGGCGATTCCTAGTGCTGCTCCGCCTCCACCGCCGCCGCCTCCGCTTCTGGCGGTTGAAAAGAAGAGTGCTCCGCCGCCTCCACCGCCTCCACGGCCTAATCCTGGTGGCTTGGCAGCGCCGTTTAAAAGTCAAAAGCCGCCTCCGCCGCTACCACCTAAAGGAATCCCAGGTGATAAGCCCTCATCAGAACAAGGCACTTCCGGAAACGGAAAGGAACAGGTGAAATTGAAGCCTCTGCATTGGGATAAAGTGAATGCTAATACTGATCATTCCATGGTTTGGAAGAAAATCGAGGGCGGTTCTTTTAAGTAAGAATTCTAATTCTTCAATCTCTCTTCATTTTCCTCCCATAGTGAATTGATGAAATATATGAATGGATTCTTACCCTTTTTGATTTGCAATTCAGGTTTGATGGAGATCTTATGGAAGCCCTATTTGGATATGTTGCTGTAAAAGGGAAATCACCTCAAAGAGACAGAAGTTCCCCAGAACAAAAAGGGGAGATAGTAGCAGCAGGGCCAACCCCTCAGATCTTCATTCTTGACACCAGGAAATCACAGAACATAGCAATTGTGCTCAAGTCTCTTGGAGTTCCCCGGAGAGAGATTATGGATGCACTCAATGAGGGACAAGGCTTAAGTGCAGAAACTCTGGAGAAGCTCTGCAGAGTTGCCCCAACTAGTGAGGAAGAATCAGACATCCTTAACTTTGCAGGAGACCCAACAAGGCTAGCGGATGCCGAATCCTTCCTCTTCTACATCCTAAAAGCCATCCCATCCGCCTTCACTCGTTTCAACGCCATGCTTTTCAGATCAAACTATGGCTCAGAGATCCTCCAACTGAATGAGTCTTTACAGACCCTGGAACTGGCTAGCAATGAGCTTAGAGGCCAAAGACTCTTCATGAAACTACTGGAGGCCATTCTGAAAGCTGGGAACAGAATGAATGCAGGGACCTCAAGAGGAGATGCTCAAGCGTTTAACCTTACCGCTCTCAGAAAGCTCTCTGATGTGAAGAGTATTGACGGAAAGACGACATTGCTCCACTTCGTTGTCCAAGAAGTAATCAGGGCAGAGGGGAGACGTTGTGTGCTCAGTCGTAATCACAGTTTAAGCAGAAGCAGTAGCCAAACCAGCAGCATTGCAAACTCAGATTATGACAAAGAGAAAGAATACATTATGCTTGGATTACCCATTGTTGGTGGCCTGAGTTCCGAGTTCTCCAACGTGAAAAAGGCTGCTGCAATAGATTACGACGCTCTTTCTAAAACAATTTTGACGCTATCATCTCAAGTATCTGAAATCAGGAAACTCGTGGCGCAATGTGGCGCTGCTGGAGGAGGATTCGCAACAGAGATGACAAATTTTCTGGACAGTGCTGAAGGAGAGATAAAGGGAGCAAGAGAGCAACAAATAGGAGTGATGGAGCTTGTGAAGAGTACAACAGATTACTTCCAAGTAGGAGCTTCAAACAATAAAACATGGCAGCCACTTCAACTGTTCATGATCATCAGTGATTTTCTGGGAATGGTCGATCGGGTGTGCGTTGAAATTGCCAGAAACCTGCAGAAAAAGAATCCCGAATGGCCTGGTGCAGGATCATCATCATCAACAACGGAATCACCTGCTGCAAGAACTGTCAGATTCCCCAAATTGCCGGCTAATTTCTTGTCAGAACAGTCAAAGAGCAACCCCATTGATTCTAATGAAGGTTCATAACTGTGTAATTGTGTAAATAGATAGGAGGGTTAGAATTTGGAGCCCACAAACATTTGTTATGTAAACATTAACCATTGCATTTATTACATTCTTTCTAAATTCTAAAACATTTTCATGATTCTACTGAATCCTATTCTATTTCTAAACATGATCTTCTTATCTTGTAAGTTGCTAATAAATTTGTACAACATATAGCCTCCCAACTGAAGAGGAATCTTTTCATTTCCAGTATACAGTATACTTCGCCATCTATCAGCGACTTTCAGCAAGGCATTTGTTTCACCAACTTTTCGAGAAGATTACGTAATGATGAAAATGGCAAAAACAGTGTCCACTAGACTTGATCGCCCTTAGCTAGACTTTGCTTCTCTTCCTCAACCTGTTCAAGCAATACTTGTAGCTCCGCTTCTGTTAAGCTTTCCAGTCGTTTCTGCAAATTGCGGGAAATACAAAGTTCAAACATGCTTCCATTTAAGTAGAAAATTTATTCTACTTATTTGAAATGACCATACCTCCATGATAATGCATATGGGCTAAACCACACTAAAAGACTGAATCCAATTAATTAGCTAGTTTAACCTATGACCTTATAAACTCATATATTCTCTCTTATTTAAAATGAACAGACCTCCATGACTTTGCTCTCATAGTCCCTTAATTGTTGAGCATAGGTCATTTCCTTATTCGAAACCCTGAAGATGTATGTTGAAATCCATCCAACTGTTAGGCCCAAGACCAGGACCAGCTGAACTACATTTCCAGCTTGTAAAGAATCAACACCGAGGAACTGCATAATAAGTTGTAGTATAAGTTTAAGTTTTCTCAAGTACTTAAAAACTGTTCCCGAAAGAGATCTTGAAGAAAAGAAGTACTTATAGAGTTGAAAGAAACACGTAAAAAGAAACTCTCTATGTGAAAACAATATTTCGCAGTACCTCCAGTCCACCCTTTAGGCCATACCCGGCAGCCGTGACTCCAAGTCCAATTAATAGAACATCCTTTCTGGTATATCCAAACGGTGTCTGCATTATGATCACATCACGGACATAACTAAGAACACATTGAGAGTTCGTAAAGAAATAAGTCGAAGAAAAGCTTCAAAAGGCATTATGAGTTGCGATTATAGTTTCACATACAAAGATAGATGCAATTTCTTACGAAGTTCTAGCAGCATTATCCCAAGCACACAAGAAAAAGCAAACTTGCCTTATCTTTGTTGGAGGATTCATCTTTACTCCCACTTGAATCTAAACTACATCTTGGAGGAAAGAGTGTTTTTGATTTATTGGAAGCTGAGTAGGATCCACTTTTAAAAACTGTGGAAGTGCCAGCTCTAAGAAGTCCGGGGGAGCGAGAGCGACCATTTTCTGTATGTAGATCACAGAAAAGAGTAAACCGCCTTGTCTTGATCAAAACCATTACAAGAGTAATATTCAACCACAGCCCCATTTGAATGTGCAAGGATTGGTAAACAAATACATACAAGGTTGCAAAAGATTAAAACAAGGGATGAAATGGAAAAGTAGCAACGCCATTCCATTGGTGTATCCGTGTATGATAGAATTCACTAACAAATATAACTCGAGAGTTGTGACAATAGCAAAAACATAAAGTCGTATCACTTTCATATGATCAAGAAGATCATTGGAGGGGGCAACCCTAGCCAAGTTGGTCGGGCTATTAATTTGGTAACAACAAAACTACAAGTTCTACTCCCCAGCGAGAGCAGCCTATTGGCCTTCTTGATTTGAACCGATCAATTATAGGCAACCTATGTTGGTTAACCTACTTGTAGTCCTCTGCCGGCTAGGGTAACAAGGCAGGGTTTACCCAGTACACATCCTCGGGTAAGAAGATCATTGGATAAATCAATTGAAGACCTATAAATTCCAATATAAAACAAAAGAAATGCTCATAAATCATAGAAAATTCTTTCAAATATCAGTCCTTTCTACCTTATCCAAAAGCATCATTACCTTCCAAGAACTAGCAATTATCTTTCAAATAGTAGTGCTAAAACACCATTAACTTCCAAAAAGTAACAATGAAGTATATAAATTAGCAATGAGTTCCAACTCCCTCAGATTCATCTCATTTTACAGTTACACCCTATGAAGAAGAAAAACAAAATCAAATAAAAAGGACAACGGAACATATATAGTAATTGTGAAACTGAAACAGTACCCAGAAAAGCATCAAAGAAAAAAAAAAATCAATTTTCTCACTTCTCAGATATGAATTCTGAAACTCTAAATGTCAATTAAAATCTGAAATACAGAGAAAAAAGGAAAACGAAATTGAAACTGAGTTGAAAGAAACCACTGACCTGGTTTCATCAATGGAAAAAGGGGTAAACCCATGAGGGAAACCACTCTGGTTGTGCATATAAGGCTGCTATAGGCGGGTGCATATGTTGTGGAAGCCATTTCCGCAAGCTTTCTTCTCTTCAGGTATAGTATTGAAAAACAAATAACAGCTTATAGCCCCGCGGGGAAAGCCTTGAGTGGCTGAAAGCCGTTATCCAGTAGAAATATCTCCTGGCTGTGCTAAAATGGGTCGGGTCGCTTCTTAACCCTCCAAGTTTTGTTTTTGTTTTTGTTTTTTTTTTTAGTAAGCTTTTTTTAGTGTTCACTGGGTAGACGTCATAGAGCTACAAACTATCTGATAAAAGAAAATAATACTATTGAATCATAATACTAACAAAATGAGGCAAAAGAAATAAGATCATTATCTCATGAATCATGATCTATACAATTGTGTAGACTTTGTAATCCGCTACAGATCATTATTTTAGTTCTTTGTTTTTCATTTTCTATTTTTAAAAATTTATAAGTAACTATATTTTATGTTTTTTTTTTTCAAGTGTTCATTTCCCCATAAGTGAAAGCATTTTTATTTTTTAAATTTTTTTTTTGATAAATTCCATGATGGATCTCACTAGGCTAAAATAGAGTTTAGACTACCAATTTTTACTCTTTCATTTTTATTTCATGACATGACAATCATTGATAAATTATTTTCATTATGTGGGTCTCAAGGAAAATGTCTACATCAAAAGTTTAAGAACAACATCAATTGTTTAATTTTTTGCTCGGTTTTTTCAAGCCAAGTAAGAAAGAGAGATGAGAGAGGGAGAGGAGATCAAGAGAAGAGGAAAAAAAAAAAAAAACTGGCACGTGCGCAACTGGGCGCTACATGTGCGCAGACGCGCCACATATTGCACATCTTTTTGTCAAAATTTTCTCTAGTTGCGAGTCTCACAAAAAATTGTATTTGCTGGAATAAAATCTATCCCCCATTAGAGCAAGCTCATCCATGTGCATACAATTTTGTTGGTTTTTCTAAGTCCATGTAAGAGAGAGTAGGGAAGAGATAAGAGGAAAAGGTGAAAAAAAAAAAATTTATGACAAAAAAGTAATAATTGCAAACATTATAAAATAATTGTTTCAAGATAAACACGTAGTTTATTACTACTTTAAAAAAATGCACAAAGAGAAAGGAGTTGCAGAGCTCTCAAGAATCAATATCAGACAAACATTATTGATGGGTTTTGCTTCCATTTTTGTCTTGTAATGCTCTTAAGCTACTCAATCTCTCTCCCAAAGTGGACACAAATTTCCATACTTTTCACCTACTCCACACCCCCTATATATCCACTGTCCTTTAATTCCTTCATCAACATTCATCTCCTAATTAAAAACCCAAAAATTTCATTTTCTTTTCTTGCATTATATTACCCCACAAGATAAGATCAGATTAGAGCAAAATGAGAATCAAACCCTTTCTGTTGAAAGCCATTATTGTATGCCTGAGTTTTGTTGTGGAGCTAGTAAAATCTGACCCAGATCCACTCCAAGACTATTGTGTGGCAGACACAAAAAACACCAAAAACTTGTTTCTTAATGGGGTGGCATGCATCAACCCAGATTTGGCTGTGGCTTCAAACTTTGCCACTTCAGCTCTGGCAAAACCTGGCAACACCAAGAACACATTCGGCTTCAACGTTACGGCCACCAATGTCGCAGTCTTGCCTGGCGTCAACACTCAAGGATTAACGTTGGCTCGTGTGGACTTGGCGCCCGGCGGCCTCGTTCCGCCGCATACGCATCCCAGGTCAGTTTTGATTTATTTTGTTTTTTATGAAGAGGAAAGTGGCGCTAGGCGCCCCTATACCGTGGTGATTTCCCCTTCTAAGTGTCGGCCTAGCATCTAACTTGGTCGACTCAATCGCTTAGTGCCTAACTCGGTCGAATTAACCCGTCTATTTCAATCGAATTTAACTGGTTGGTTCGACTTTACTAATTTTTTTCTATATATATATATATAGTATGACATATTGACATATATACACTCACACACATGTATTGTTTTTTTTTAGTTAACCGTCTAGGTGCTGCTCTACCGATTATTGTCTAGCGTCTACTGTAACCATGTCTACAATTGACGAGTAGTTATGCTGTGTGCAAAAACAACGTCGTTTTATTAAAAACGCGCATCTCCCCTAAAAAAAAATTCAGATTCGATTCCCAGCAACAACATATGAACCTGAATTAACAGGGTCAAACCAAAAAGACCAAATAACAGTTCTCGCTCAGAGTTAAACTTATAACATTATAGTTATCAAGTGAATTAGCATGTCAGTATTTTTGGGAATGTAAATAAAATAAAAAATGCAGGGCATCGGAGGTGACGATCGTGCTTAAGGGCGCAGTGTTGGTGGGGTTTGTGGACACTTCAAATCGGCTATTTACGCAGCAATTGAGGGCCGGAGATAGTTTCGTGTTCCCCAAGGCTTTAATCCATTTCCTTTTCAATATGGACACCATGAAGCCGGCGTTGGCCGTGTCGGGGCTGAGCAGCCAGAACCCCGGCGCCCAGCTCACTTCTCTCGCCACCTTCGCCACCAAACCGGCGGTGCCGGATGAAGTCCTCAAGAAGGCGTTTCAGATCAACGGCATAGATGTCGCCAAGATCAGAAAGAATCTTGGAGGATGATATATACATATACATATATATGATGAATATCATCATTAATTACAGGTGCAAGAATAGTATCACAAGAATGTCGTTTATTATTGTTAAGAATAAAAGTGATATGATGGCCATGTTATTATAACTTTTTTAAGGCCAATAAAACGTTAATATATTAATTAATGAATAAGAGTTAATACCATTTAAGGTCCTCCGAGTATAATGGTTTTGCTAGGTTTAGTCCTAAACTTTCAAATTGACCATCTGTGGTCATTTGACTTTCAAATTTAACCATTCGTGGTCCAAGTTAACCACCCATGGTCCTTCAAATTTCAAAATTTAACCAGTGGTGGTCCTCTTGAAAGGGCCATGGTTGGTTAAAATTTAATAGTTGAAGGACCATAGGTGGTTAACTTGGACCACGAATGGTTAAATTTGAAACTCGAAGAACCACATATGGTCAATTTGAAAATTTATGACTAAACGTGACAAAACCACTATACTCAGAAGACCTCAAATGGTATTAACCCTAATAAATAAGGTGTAAAATACATTCAGGTGGAGCGGAGTCTCAAAACATAAAAACCGACTGGATGTAAATTAATTTTACCAAAACATGTGCAGATTGATTCGCAAACCTTTTAATGGGACTAATGGAGCACGACTCAATAGAATTAATTAATTCACTACACTTGCTAAACACGATACCCAAGTACGACCGAGACATGGGCCCCGTTTGGTAAAAAAATTGGCCTGTAAGTCAATTTTGGCTTATTTGACCACTATTAATTGTTTGATTTAGTTAAAATATCAATATAAATGTTTGGTTAATTAATTTTTTGCAACTCCAAAAGGTTAAAATTCAAAAAGCTACTCCAAGTAACTTTTTCAATTAACTTTTTGAGAAAATGAATTATACCAAATAATTATCAACTAACAGCTAATTTACCAAACACTTTTTTACAATAAACTAATGTTATCAATTATTTATACCCTCTAATTAACACAATCAGCTAACAGTTAACAACAATTTTATCAAACAAGGCCATGGTATTTCCCGTCGAGGCTTGAACCACAATTCGAGAGTCCATCTCAACTTGCACATTATGTAAACCATTATTTTCTTATCTAAAAGAGAGCCTCCCTGCACGTCATTGCTTCGACCAGCTGTGGTTCGGGGCTAACTTAGTACCCCTCTTTTTATTTCAAAATTCATTTGCATTATATTTTTCTCTCATAAAATTATTGGTGAGAAGAGATTATGTTCCTATATTTGAGTGGATAAAAATAGGTTTAAAGTTTTGGACGATTTTTAACTGATTTTAATTAATTATTATGAGTTTACCGAGAAGATACAAATAAATTTAAAATATAAATTAGCTTGTTACTAAGATGAAGCATATTAATTTCATAAACTTCATACACTAGGTTCATTATTAGTAGGGGTGTGAAGAGCAGATTACATTGGGTTGGGCTTCCCTCCTATGTGGTGAATAGCTCATGTTTGGACCAAGCCAATTTTTATCCACTATATTTTTGTTGAGCCCTTATTATTATTATATTATTTATATAATATGGAGTAACATTTTGGGGAATGTAGTTAAAGTTGGAGTAGCAATGTTTGGGCAGAAGATGAAGAGAAGCCATTTTACTTTCACACTCATCTATTGTTGGTGGCATGTGAAGAGGTGGAATTAGTTAGGAATTAATTCCCTTTGGCTCTTCCCATTCAACAATGAAGCTATATAAGGGGCAAACTTTCATTGTTTCCTCACCCTACTTCTACATCCATTCCAATTCCATTTGTTTTTTGGCAGAAGCATTAGGCAAAAAAAAAAAGAAAAATTCTATTTTCTTTCTTTTTCTTTTTCACGGCTGTATGCAGCAGTTGAAGGAGCAACATCTATTTCTTCTTCATTTTGTGCTACTTTGTCGTGGATTTGCCTAGTTTTTTGGTGGCACGGCGACGGAGTGTTCGGCGGGTTTTGTCGTACGTCTGATGGATTTGTCGTGAGGTTTGTCGAAACTTTTGGAGTACTTTCTTCATCAAATATTTTGTAGAGGTCAGTTGTTTGTTTCAGGCATCGTTTTGGGTAATCTCGTAATATTTGTATTCTATTCACATTGCTCATGGTGGTTGAATATTTTAAGTACGAGTTGGTATCTCTTTTTTAGTCCTGTGAACGTGATAGATTGTATTTGGCCTAGAGTTGTTGTATTGTGATGAATTTTTAGGGTGCTTGGCTCGGGTGGTAGCCAGCAACTTTGTACCCAAGATTTGTTATAGTGGAATTGTTGTTGGTGGTGATCCGTGGTTTTTCCCCGTGGTTTTGGGGTTTTTCACGCAAATTTTGTGTCCCTTGCGTTGTTATTTATTTTGGGCTATTGTGTTATCTCGTATTTGTGGACCGTGTCGGGGTCTGTGATTTTCATTGTCACAGGAAGTGGGATTTTTCCCCAACAGATTAATGCATAAGCCACTTTGGACCAGAGTATTGATAAGTCTCTGCTCAAAATTTGAGGCGATTATATCCTTTGTTTCAACACTCTAAAAAAATACAAATCTTGAGAGATGATTCTGGTAGCTAATTTTTACATTCTTATCCTTAAATTTAGTACCTATTAAATAAATATTTAACAGAATAATCAATTAAATACGGGATAAAATCAATAGTCAAGAGATTAATTATGGTCAAATTGAAAATTGATAATAGAAATGGGTAAATGGCCAAAAATAAATAAATAAATAAATCCAAAGTTAGAGAATTGAAAGGTAGAAGAAAAAAGAAAGAAAGAAAGAAAGCTGGTGGGACAAGAAGGAACCCAACTTAATTGAATGCAAACTCTATTGTTGTATTTTATTTTATGTTTTTCCAAGACTTGCAAACTTTTCTAAGCCTCACAACGAAGAAGTTTGGTAGGGAAAAGGAAGAGAAGATTCTAAAAAAAACAAAATTATTTCAATGTTTTAATTATAATGTATTTTATTTTTAGTGTCTGACATTTTTAAACATTAAACTTTAATTTTCCTCTAAGATATTCAAAATATCATCACGTATGTATAGTTTGGTCAATTTAATGAATTTTTCACAAAGTGATAATAATATTATAGAAATTTCAAATATTTTGAACTAAAAATTAAACTAAATACTTTTACGGAGTATAATATAATTGAAATATTAAATCATAGCTAGGGTTGCAAGGCATAGATAGAAATGGTACTAACTACAACTTGTCTATAATAATATACTCGATTCTGCAATGTTAATTATCTACAATGTATTTATCAAACTTTGTCCATGCATTCTAATAATTATGGAAATGTTATGCCATTCACTATTGAAAATTATGAAATTTCCGACCACCTAAAAGTGATCTTAAATCAATTTGAAAATAAAAAGTGGTTGGAAATAGCAACAAAAGTTTTTCCGGATATCAAAAGTAGTCGGAACAAGGCTTTTAACTTGATTTAAGATCACTCTCAGGTGGTCAGAAATTCCATAATTTCCAGTAGTGATTTTATTTTTATTTAATTTTCACGAAGCCAATTAATTAATTAATTAAGGTTCATGCATTTGTATGGGATTGGCAAAATGTTGAATGGTCTGCCTGCTTTATTGGTGCCTATATCTTAAGACTTAAGGTTGGTGGCTGCAGACGTTTCACATTATAATATACCTTTTAGAAAGTAATAATACTTTATCTTTTATTTTTTATATTTTGATGATTTTATTTGCTGACAGCCTTTGGGTTATTACATGTTAATCTTCAAAATAATAATAAAAATAATGTTACAAAAAGTATAAACCACAAAAGCAAATCTGGAGGTTTATTGGAACGTGATTATTTTATATCATTTAGGTCAACATTCAATAAAATTATATATATCTACCGGGTTTGCGGTTTGCCCCTGATATAACACAATACGTGGTCTATTACATATATTCACAAATTTTATTTTCTGATGTGGCAAATTCTGATATTTTTTTATGTGGGTTCATGTAAAAGTGTCTACATCAATATTTTAAGTCTGAGAGTAAAAGTTAGGAGTAGAGAATGAGAGTAAATATAATATTTTCCATTTTTAAATTTGTGATAGAATTTGTTATAACTCAATATATTTTACCATTAACTTTGAGAGTTCACGATGATATCGAAGGTAAAGAATTCAATATATGCTAATATTCAAGTGCATTTACCTGTTTCCATGAGTTTTATGAAATCTTTCGTACGTATACACAAGTCAGACAATCTAGTTTATGTACATTTATGGAAGGGTCTCACCGGAAGAGATGGTCTCATTTTATTATTATTATTATTATTATTATTATTATTATTATTATTATTATTATTATTCCCCAAATAATAGCAGAGCATCTAGAAAGTTTGAAGGGTGAGTTGTGCAAGGCAAGCATATATTTCCAGCATATCCCCTGCTGAAGGAAGCCTCTCAAATCACTGAAAGCAACCATGCAACTAATTCATCAAATGAACTTTGAGTGATTCTTTGATGGGTAAAAACCCCGTGGACTCGATAATACAAGATAAAAGGTCAAAATTTTGTACGTAATAAAACATCATAAATCTATGATTTTAGGTATGAAACTGAATATTCACACAAAGAGGAAATTCTATAATGTTACATATAATCGAAATATAATAACATACTCCATACTAGTTTATAACATTTAACTAAACAAACATTTTGTTCGTATGACACTATAGAGTAGGGTTCTAATGAGAACACTTGTTTAGATGAGAACGTGAGAACAAATCGTGTGCATCCATCTAATATTTTTTAATGGTCTAAATTAGATTAAGTGTGTGCAAACGCAAATTAAATGTGTACAAACACTTCTAGACCATTAAAAAATATTAGATGGATGCACACGATAAATAAAATGTATATAAATATCACTAAATGTTTATGTAGTAATCGATTAAATTAATCCGGGTAATTCAAATTAACAAAACCCGATAATTAAAAGAAAATAATAAAAGATAATGACAAAGACAAAGGTAATGATATTGATCAATAGTTATTGTGTAGACCGTGGACCAGTTCACTGTTCAAAACCGATGTCGCTTCGCATGATTTTTTTTTTTCATGCAACCCACTGCAACATACATTGATAGGGTGTGAATCCAATGGGCCTAGAGCCCGAGAAGGAAAAGAGAAGATGGGACGAAGATTGGGCCCATGGAGACTGGTCCCAGCAAAGGAAGGAAGGAAATAAGCGGCATGTGCCATGAAGAAGCCCAGAGGAGGGCACGGCCGAGTTTAGGGAGTCGGCGCAAGTAGTCGGTCGACGCGGACAGAGGTCGGTCCAACAGCTAGCCGTTGTCATTAAAGGACCGCCTTTAATGCCCGGTCAACCAGGCCGTTAGGAAGGCCTTGTAACAGCAGCCTAACGGCCCTTAACCTTAATAGACCATTCAATGTATGTATTCAAATTAGTAAGAGATGTCGCGTATAAATAAACCCCTTAAACAATGTAAACACAAGCTCTTTCCGGTAGAAAGTCGCCAGAAAGTACAAGTAGAAATACACCATTCTAGCAGTTATCTCTTGTGTTTAGCAGCTTTATTCTTACGGTGAATCCACCAATTACGGTTGTGTTGGACCTCCTTAAACCCAAAAACCTAAAACCAACATACATATTTATAATTTATAATGTACATAATTCTACCTTATAAAATACAATATCTTACCTTAGAAGTTCCATTACTTTAAAATATAATATATATTATTCGAACACATAATGTACATTATTATAAAATACATTATTCTAACTCATAATGTATATTATTCAAACTCATAAAATTCAGATAATTATGAATAATTTAATGCAAAATTAATAACCAAAAATGTTGTAATGGAACCTAACCTCATGAGTTCATATAAAATACAGCCTGAAAAGAGTAATTCTACCTCTCACTTCATATTTTACAACTCAAATGAGTTGTTAGCTAGAGGATAAATATAGTAAAAAAAAAAAAACAAATGAAATTGTATTGTATATATGAATTTTGATTTTTGACCCCAACAAAATAAATTTACTAAACTACAATCCTCCTATATTTCTATCTATTTTCCTGCAAATCAATCTGTACAACCATATCAAAGAATCATATATAAAATATAAATCACCCTGTAAAAAAAAATAAAAAATAAATAAAATCAAATGAAATAATTGGAGTAAACAAACGGATGGGTACTGCTAGCTAAAGCATGTTGTTGTTGTTGATGATGATGGTATAGCTTAACGTTGGTCCGTCGATACAGATCGTACGGGCCCCACAGATAATCCAACGGACACGGTTTCTTCTCATCCAGCCTCGTCCATGGCTTCCCTTTCCCGCTCCAATGCAGCAGGCTCACCGGACCGGCGTGGAGGCTCCGGCAAGAGCCTTTAACGTTGTCGCCGCCGAGACCGTGCTGGTTCCACCGGTGATCGATCGGCTCGATGTTCCCGCCGAAAACCAGTAAAAATGGCGGCAGAGAACCCAGCTCGTATACGCGTCTCTTCTTCTGGATCTCCATCCACGTCTCTATCTTGTCCCTGTAATTCCCCCGTCGCCATTCCCGGAGGTCCATCACCATCACGCCGGTGTTGAAGTAGCAGGGCTTCCGGGACCCGAATACCCGCGGGAGAATCGGGTCGGACCAGAAGTCTTCGGTGAAGTATTTGGTGAAATTCGCGTGGCAGTATTCCGGGGCCCCGATGACCCGGGAGGGGGATAGCCGGACGTTCCAGAGCTTCTGGATATCGTCGACGAGGATGACGTCGGAGTCCAAATAGATGACCCGGGTCACGCACGGGTCGAGCAGGTCGCCCAGATAGTTCCGGGCGTAATTCAACGGGTTCTCCAGGGCGACCCGGATCGAAGACGAGATTAGCTTAGCGACGATATCTTCTCTAAAGATATATACCTTGAAGTTTAATGAAGGGAAAATGGATTGGACGAGTCGGGTCAGGACCCGGGGATTGGCCGGGTCGAACTCGGCGGCCAAGAAATGGAAGAAGACGCTCTCCGGGCACGACGCGTGGCGGAGGACGGAGTGCACCGCCGCCATTGAGCCGCGCAGGTACTCGGAGTCCAGGGTCATCGCCACGTGGACCAACGACGGTGAACAATACGACACCGTTTCTCCCCCCTTCTTCACCGGACACGCCTCCCCGTTCCGGTACGCCGGCGCTTCGGCAAACCCAAACCCGACGGATCCCACCGGAAGAATCCGAATCCCAACACAACCCAACGGCGACAAACCAATAATCAAGATCAAAACTAACTCAACCCAAGAACTCTTCATTCTTGGACTTCGGGTTTTGTCCAAGAATCTCTCTCTCTCTCTCTCTCTGCTTTTCAATCTCTCACTATATATATACGTATTTAAAAAAATAGTTATATACAGCATTCTGGTGTAGTAGTAGAAGGTGGAGAAGAAGAAGAGAGATAGTTCTGGAGAAGGAAATGTCAAACACATCTTGAACACGCACTTTGTTGGGAATGGAAAATGCGAAAATAATCATTAAAAAAAAAAAAAAAAAAACGCGGTTTTCAGGAATATTATTGCTGTCAATGATATGCGAAACTTCTACTATTGCGTTTTGGATTCTTGGTTTAGATGAGTTATAAACCCACAGAATCCCTACCCTTGTTAGATAAATACTACTTTTAATTAATTCGTGTCATTAACTTTATGCATAAGGAATTTATCTCTATACTTTTGTCAAATTAGAGAGCGTAATCTCTGATCTATGACCTCAAGGCCAAAACTCTAACATCTCATTTTATGAGTTGCTAATGTGTTGTTAAACTCGTACTGATAGTTCAATTGATTTTGAAATAGCAGATTATGGGTCAGGGCACTAGATTGAGCCGTGACAACTTTGCAGTGTAACAATTTCATGCTTTTGTTAGGTGTCTCCTTATGGGCATCAAACACTGGTTAGTTAATAAGAGATTTCATTTTTTTTTTGGATAAAGACTGTAATATGTTAAAATATATGTGAGTGTGCGAACACAAAAGTGTATCATGTAAAACTACAAAGTATATTTTATGATACGTAAAAGTACATTAAAAAATGTATAGATTCTAAAAATATATCACACAAAGCTACACATACTTTTGTGTACACTTTTAATTTTATATTGTACATGTTCTCCCTCGATTTATCTCCTATGTAAATATATGTGTAAAGTTTTGTATAAGAAGTATTTTCTCATTGCTCGAGTTATTATTACTGAAATAGTGATAATTTTGATGTTGAAATTTTTATTAATTAATTATTATGGTTATAAGTTGTACAGAGAGAAATTAATACATAATTTAGTATTTTGATTTATACATATCATCACGTGTCATAATGGGTCAAAAACTTTGTTACATGTGTCGATTTGTTCAATTATGACTACATGATATGGCCGCATTTGACTGTAATGTTCTTACGTTAAGGTAGGCTAAATTTTTATTTATATTTTTTTGAATGCTACCAATTTATTAAATTATAGTATCTGTTCAAACATATTTTCTCAATCTAATAAAGCACAATAACGTGAGACTCGATCTCATGACCTCCAACATTGGAGAGGTCACTACATGCCATCTGAGCACAAGGTGTTTGGCTAAGGTAGACTAAATTAATTTATTACAAACATAAATTAATTTTATTATTTATTATTTAAGGCGTGTTTGGTTCATGGGTTTACACAATAGAAATGGTCGAATAGGAATAAAAATCATAGTTAGAGTGTGTTTGGTTCATGAGTTTACACAATAAAAATGGTCGAATAAGAATCAAAATCATAGTTAATGTTTGGTTGACAACCTTTTAAAATACAACTATAAATTTTGATTACCCCTTCAATTAAAAATTTCATTCCATAATTAAAAAAAAAAAAAAAAGTATCATTCCATCTTATTGACAATCTAACTTTTAAGTTTGAATTAGTACTTTTAGGGGTCGTTTGGTTCACGGAATGTCGATTACCTTAGGGAATGTTAGATTGCTGGGAATGTTAGATTGCTGGGAATGTTAGATTACTGGAAATGTTAGATTACTGTGTTTGGTTAAAATTGGGGTATGTAATTTAATCATGTTTGGTTTAGGGTTATCTTTTATCCACACACTATAATATCCTTAACACATTTTCATATATTTTAATAAATTTAAAAATTAATATAAATAAATAAGATAACGGCATCATATATAATTATATGATTTTAAAATATTAACTAAAATCTTGAACTTGAGAAACAAAATTATTTTATATGCTAACCTAACATAATAAAAATAAAAAATATATAATTACAAAAATAATTATATATATATATATGTATATATATATATATATATATATATATATATATATATATATATATATATATATATATATATATATATATATATATATATGTATGTGTGTGTGTGTGTGTGTGTATAATAAATTAACATAACCAAGGTTATCTTACATAACCTTAGAAATTGAAGGGAATCACATTTCCTTCAAAATCCTATGTGGAGGGAATGTGACATTCCATGGGAATGTTAGATTCTCTGAGATAATATGAACCAAACAGAGGAATGTGAGTTTTGGAATGTCACATTCCCTTGGTTATGTTATATAACCTGAACCAAACGCCCCCTTAGATTTTTGTTTTGATTTTTTTTTTGTTTATATCGATGCTTTAGATGTCATTATATTATGATCAACTGCCTTGATTTTTTTTTATTTTCGTATTTTTAAAATATTTATTCCCATTATATATGGTCATACACAACCAAACATCAATATTAATAATCATTCAAATTCCACCTTACCACCAAACATGCAAAACACATTCACCAAAATTCATTACCATTACCAAATATTTGATTCTCATTCCAATTCCAATTCTCATGTGCGAACCAAACAACCATAAAAACATAACATCATATGATTTTTTCAAAAAGATGTTTTCATTATATGTAAGAAGGGTAAAATACAATAATAAGTTGATATTATTGAACTACAAAATTTTGGGGAAAAGAGTATAAATAAATGAACACATTTAAGCAATATAATATATTATTATCCCGCATGGACAGCTTAACTGGTCATAGAGGTGAAAGTTGGAAAGAATGATCAAGAATCGAGTCTCACCAACGACAGTGTAGGAGCACTCAAAGTGAGGGGTCTAACCTCTGTGGTTCATGTTTAGTTAAGTTACCATAATTTACATCTTCTCAGATGCTCTGTCAGGCTAGGTTGGGGTTCAACATTTTAGAAAGAATATATAGTAGTAATAATTTGGACCAAATTTTAGGTAATAGTGAGGGGAATACCAATCTTAATAATAGAGGCAACGCATATTCATTGCTTTCCACTAAGGTGATGCTAGCCAGAAAAAGAGACAGTGCCAGCTAAGTCCATACCTCCTAGCACCCTACACTTATTAACAAATAAAGTCTGTGGAAATAGCTGAATTTGTTCCATCAATCACTTTAAAAATAAATAAGAATAACATTATATATTTATAATATATAATTTAATACATTTTTATTTGTAGTTATAAATTTATTAATATAATTCTAAAAAATTAAAAGAATGAAACAAAATTGCCAATGTGACCAGATCACATTACCCAATTTTGCACATGGGAGCATGATGCTCCCTTTAAAGGGGAGCCTCATGTTCCGACTTTCAACTTAAGAGTGGCTTTGAGACGTATCCTCATGTTTCCTAACATGGGGCGATAATCGATCTCCTTTGATAAGTTAAAGTTTTAACTTGTCTTAATTATTAATTTTAAGAAAAATAATAATGGTACCCAGGTTGGATTTCCATTTGAAAGGTTGTAAGTTCGAGTCTCAGTGGAGGCGAACAGATACTACAATGTAATAGAACCAGTAGCATTCAAAAAAAAAATATCAGTTTTAGTTTATTAATTAATTATACGTATATTGTAAATGTATGTAGATTCAGTTTAGGAATTATTATCCATATAATTTTTTTCTTTTAATTATGTAATTGTGTATAAGGTGACAATTTTAATCAATTACTTATAGATTTTGTTAATATTAATAATTTATTTTAAAATTTCAAATTATCAAAACGCATTTTGGTTATTTAGTAATTTTTTTTTAAAATTCATGGATCTTTATCTTCATACACACGCACGCACGCACGCGCGTGCGCACACACACACACAGAGAATTATGTTCAAATATAGTTGGTGCGCCCAAGTGCGGTTGTGCGATTAAATATGAGCCATTGATCTTGCTTAAATCAACGTCCAGGAGTACCAAAATTTAAAAAAAAAAAAAAAAAAAAAACAAAAAACAAAAAAAAAAAACAAACACGGTGACAATTTGGTAATTTTTGCATCTAAGTCAAATTTAAGGTGCGTGATTTTTGTGTTTAAGGTGCGTGAGATTTGTAGTTAAGGTGCGTGGGTTTTGTGTTTAAGGTGTGTAGGTTGTGTGCTTAATGTGAGTAGTTGTTGAAACTTAATATGTGTGGATTTTCTGCTTAATGTGAGTATTTGTTGAAACTTAAGGTGCGTGATTTTCCTTCTTAAGGTGCGTGATTTGTATGCTTAAGGTGCGTCAGTTGTGTGAAACTTAAGGTGAGCCATTTTAAAATCTTAGGTGCGTGATTTGTGTTCTTAAGGTGCTTTATTGTGTGTTTAAAGTTCATGGTTTGTGTACTTAAAGATGAATGGTTTGTATTCTTAAGGTGCTTTGTTTGTGTAATTAAAGTGCGTGATTTATGTACTTAAGATGCTTCATTTTAATGCTTAAGGTGCGTCAACCGCACGGGAAGCCTATTACTGTTACCGCTAAATAAAATTCTAAATTGCACAAAATAATAATCAGATTTCACTTGTTTTAACATACACCAAAACAACCAAAAACATTCCTATGTTGAACAAAATAACAACCTAAATTGCTAATGGTTTAATAAGCACCAAAACAACATCAAAATGATAGCTTGAGTTTCATGTTTAAAAAAATAAAAAAAATACTCATAATTATTTACAAAGTAGTATTTGTTTTATACTTTCTTAATCATTCTCAGTCTAAAAAATCTAAGCCCTTACCACCGAGATTTGATTTGTAAACACACATTTATAATGGTAACAGATGTGTCATCACACTATATAGTAGTAGACCTTGAATTACATGATTTACACGGCATAAAAACAAGTTTGTATCTAAATATATTTAAACCACCATACCCTTTTCATATTAAAAAATTACACTATACCACTAGGAATTCATTTTTCATTTTATTATTTTAGCACATTCAAGCCTACCAACTAGTTTTAATTTCATGCATTAGCCATTTTTCCATGCATACCAATTCTCCAAGCTAGATAATTATATGCTTTTTTCCAATTACTTGCTTAATCTAAAGACCAATAAAGATAATCATCTCATCTATACAATTTTAATTAAATCTAAAACAAACGTCACTATACCGTGCAGAATAGAATACATCTCCACCGATATACAATAATACACACAAATACTGTTTAATTAAATATCGTATCGAATTTACGGGTTACGTTGAAAATGAGCAGAAGCCTACAGAAGAGGGGTTGATGAATTATGTGAGGTGTCCCAATTTTCCAAGAGGATGATTAGGTGGAACATACCCTATTTGAACTTGTGTACAAAGTACAAACCTACACTAGTTATCAATTAAGTTAAACAACCGATATGAATGTTTAGTTAATTAGATTTTTGTAACAGCTTATTGCTCAAAAACACTAAAAAATTCAAAAAACTATTCAAAAGAGCCATTTCGATCAGTTTTTTTTATAAAAGTCATTTTGTATATAATCAACTATCAGCTAACAGTTAACTAGTCAAACCCACTAACTCAATTAACTAACAGCTACTTACCAAACACATCCATACATGTGTTACAACTTTCAATAGAATTAAGTTATGAAAACCATGCAATAAACAAAGAATATCATACACAAGAATATAGAATAAACACCAAAGATTTTATAATGATTCAACAATTGTTTAATAAACCATAATGTTATAATACAAAGTGTGGCATAGCTGACACTTGTAGAGTACACTCAAAAACAACCTTTCTTTGAGATTCACTTTAAATTTACACACCTGAGTCTATTATCATCACAAAAATCAAATCCAATGGAAATAATAAGCTAAAGTGAAACCAAAAGAACAAATGTACCAATTGGATGACAAGATACCTCATCGCTCTTATTTGGATCTTATTCGTTTCGTGTTAAATATAACTTAAATATTCGTAATTATCTTTGTATAAAAGAGAACAAACAAACAAATAAAACAAAAAAAAACAAAAACAAAAATAACACTTTATAGCGTAACAAACAACTAATATCAGTTTACACAAAAAAGTGTCCTACCATCACATGTAGTCTAGTCTGAAATCAACAAATATTGTACAAAAACATTTTTCACTAACTTATTAGCTTAAATTCTTTCAAAAAAATTATTAACATTTTAAGGTTATATTAGACCAAAGTTCTCAACCACTTCAATTTCACTATTTTTCCCAATCCCCTTCTCTCAAAAAGTTGAATCCTCAACCCCAAGAGCCCCCCACATCCCAGCCCGACAAAGTATTTGGAAGGATGTAAATCACAATGAATCAATAGCTCAACAAACATGGCTAAATGTCGATGCGCACAAGGTATCTGCCCACTTTGAGGCATAATCCTCACACTGTCATTACCGAGATTCGAACCTTAGTCTCTTCTCCCAAATACTGTCTACTTAACCAGTGAGCTAAACCCGTGAGAGCTATTTTTCCCAATCCCACCTCAACACCAAACCATCTCCAAACAAGTCAATAACTAAAACACCTAGACTTCATCCAATTTCAAAGAAAACTACACATAAAACATTAGTTTTGATGGGACCACAAAACTACCCAGCCACCAAACACTTGTGGAGAACACAGTTCCACCACCATCACACAGGAAAAATGGAAAATGAGGATTAATAGAGTAACAAAATCTGCCCCAAAAAAATACCAGGGAAATAATAACACCATGAGAAAAGGCAAAGAAATCACCTGCAAAATCAAGAATCAGGCAAAAAGGAGAGAAACAATGCCAAAAGGTTTAAAAATATCAACTTTGAACCACAGCTCTTGTAGGAGCAATAAGCTCTCACTGCAAAAATCTTCAACCTAGTATTACTCAATGCAGAGCTTCTGCATGTGTATTCAAATTCATTATTTAATCACTCAAAAAATTGCACTATCAAACCTCTTGAAGAAATCATAGAAACTGAACGTTTAAGTATGTTGGTTATTTTCTACATCTCTTGTGTATATTGATAGAGACCAACTGTTGTCAAACACTTCGGCTCATGGAAGAATTGCTCTCAATTCCTTCCTGTCTGCTCCAAAAGCCTGTTCATAATACGAACAAATTAGCTTTAATGGATATAACTAATGAAATGTCCAGCCATTCAAGATAAAATGTTAAAGTTAATTTTTTACAATAATCCAAATTTTTGAGCACAATATACATAAAATAGTAAATTAGTCTCACTATTAACATAAACTTTTAGTTAAAACAGAACATATCTTTCAATTTGATATCATAACATATCAAATAATAAATGTGCAATCTCACTATTAGTTTAACCTTTTAATTAAAAACAAAACACATCCTTCAATTTTTAATATATTATGTACAACTAAAACACCGCCATTTTTTTTAGTACTACAATCTAACATATACATAGTATCTGTTCAACATGATAATATGCAAATATTGGTCACCCTTTTTTTATAACAACACCTGCTCACCAAACTTCAATTGAATTGTTTCTGAAGGGCAACTAGTTATCAATTTCTTACAACAGGTTGTGGAATCATCATGCACATAACCATTTGGATTCTTCCACATGTCACTAATGTAATGCATGTGGATGTGAAAAAAGGTTTTATCATCATTATTCAAACACGAGTGTTGAGTTTGACGCAACTCTGGCCAATTTATAGTATATTTGAAGGTGACATACTCACACTACCGCATTCGCTATGTCATAATTCCTTGCCAAAAAAAAAGGTTGGTCACTAGGTTGGGAAGAGAGTTGAGCAGAGTCAAGTGTATAATGCCTAGGAACCATTTAACAATTGTAACGAGCAATTAAGGGGGCATAAAATCATATTCATGTGTACCTCAGTTCCAAGCCCTTTCACATATACATTTGAAAAGAGTTCAGAAGGGTCAGGCATGGGGCACTCCTGTAAAGATAAAAAAAAAAGCATTTAGTGTGGTTATGCTAAACTGGCAGTCTTCAACAAAACCAATTTAATTGCTACTGTGCAGTGTGTCCCATGTGCCTCACCTTTGCCTTTGTTATGGCTTCATCTACCTCTTTCCTCACCTCCTTCTCGATATCCTGGTTAAGAAGATCAAAAGGAGATGTGAGTTAAACCATGCATCACCACAAACTGTGGTAACAATACCTTTCAAAGCATACCACTATCAAAAGCAAAATAACCAGAAGATCATAATCCAGTCGTTGAAAAGTATATCAAAACAATTTGTAAAAATATCTTCCGAGGGTTTAAGTTTAATCAATTATCGTCTTTACCTTCAGCTCTTTCTCAGTGGATATATCATGACTTAATATTAGCTTTCTGACTCTTTCAATTGGATCACGCTCCTGAAAAGTAGAAAGCATGTTCAAATAAATATGAATGAAGCCAGTATTTATGAGAAGAAATGTTCGAGTAAGTCTCAAGAGTATGTTTACCTGTCTCACTCCACTGATCTCATCACGTGTGCGATAAGTGCTTCCAGGATCAGACATGGAGTGGCCATGGTACCTATAGGTGTCCATTTCAAGAATCTGAACAAAATCATGGATGTGCATTAAAATGTGTAAATTCAAAAAGCAATGTAAAAAATAAAATAAAAATTAAAAAATTAAAAAGACAATAAATTGTCAGCAAAATGCATCAATAAATGACGTCCAAGCAGCAGTCCAAATCATATCATATTCCACACGCTAAATCTTCTTTCGGAATCCCCATTTCATTCTATGGTATATTCGTATATATAACCTTACTACTAGCTCACAGGGATCACAAATTCACATCCAATCTAATTGCATAAAGTAATATTTCTTTCATTAAAAAAAAAAAAAAAAAAAAACTTACACTCTAAGTGTTGCTTTATCTACCTGAAAAAAGATGTTCATGGTTGCAAATGCCAAATTCAAGATTACTTTTCCTAAAACAAAAGCTACAGAATTCAGAATTCATCATTTATATGGCAGTAAGTATGTGGCCATAGCTGCAATAAAAGACTAATAACAAAGCAAAATTTGCTCATGTTGAAAGACCAGTTACAAATTGTTTCCGCATCATCTTACCCTATTATCCAAGGCATGGCATTTTACTATCAAGGAAACATTACCATACACATGGTTATAATAACTACATGCTTTGCAGTCTGTAAATACATTGCACAGGAGTACTACTCATCAAATCAATGAAAAAGACTTCATGAATAGGGACAATAAAAACTCACAATTGGTCCATTCTTCAGAGCATGGTCCTTGGCGAATTTGCATGCCTGTTTCACAGCGAGGACATCCATACCATCCACCTGTTATAGGAAGCACTCATTAGATAAATCAAAGGACACTTTGGCAATGGTGTTTGGTTCAAACATGGGAATTAGAATTGCAATCAGATTCAAAAATTAAGGAACTAGAATGAGTCAAGTAAAAGTAGTCTATCTGCTTGGTAATAAAACTTAGATATGTAAAACCCCAGAATCAAAATCAAAATATAAAATTTAAAAACCAGGAAAAAAGAACAATTTAATCCGCCTTCTTTGCCAAATCTTTGGCATAGAAGAACCTTTATTCTATGCCAAATGAGTTGGAAAGTCATGAAAGAGACTTATATCTCTTCCTTGTTCCTGGGCTTTAATGAGTAGGAAAGTTATGGATTTAGCAAATACTCTTAACAGATTAATAGAAACAAGAAATTTCATGGGTAAATACCTGTAAATAAACTTCTCACTAAAGCACCTAAATCAGCATTATCACACATTCACAATCTCAATGCATGCTAAATGAATGTATCTAAACATTTTTCTTCAGAACACCGTTTTTATAGGAAGAAAAAGCATGGAATTGTTGGAGCACTTGCTCATATGATTACTCATGCAATAAAAACTCTTACATGAGTACCCAAAAGTACAGTGTAGCTCCACAAAGCTATACAATCTCATATTTTATGGTGATTTAATTAAGATTAATATAACTCCCACTGGAAACAATCTCTCTTTGAAAACAGATGTAAAGGTCTAACTACTTAATAAATGGATTTATAACTATTCAAAATCGCATTACTCCAATTTTTTTTGTCCAATGGCAGAACTTCAAATCCATCCAATAAAGGTCTGACTACTTAAATAAATGGATTTATAACTATTCAAATCGCAGAATCCAATTTTTTTGGTCCAAAGCTGGCAGAACTTCAAATCTAGCTACATTATGAAACTCCATATATAAACTTAGCAAATTAAATAAGGGAAAGGAACAAACTTTATTCATAAATACCTTAAGACCGGGGACATAATCTCCTCTCTTATAATAGGCAGGACTTTTTGCTGCCCTCCATTCTGCAGTCCCCATTCCATCTGCATTAAAAAAAGCAATCAAGCATTTGGCAAGTTGCTCCATATAAATAAACTACCCACATAGTAACCTTGTTCCTTATATTTAATCTATACTTCACAATTTTACTTTTCTGAGAATAATTTTCTAAATTATACCGGAAATGGATTATTAAGTGATCCCATTAAACAGAACCATCAATTCTTTCAATTCCTGAACATTAACCAAGTTCCAGTATACCATTAAAAACAGTATAATATTCAATCTTAATATAATTTACTAGTAATCAACAGAGGGAGAGATAGAGAGACCAAAATAAAAACCCTAGAGACTGCATAATTTGTGATGAAAAAGCATCCATTTCTTACAGTGATTGTTCTCGCAAACCAGAATAGCAGGCAAATCCCAAAGCGCCGCCATGTTTAAAGCTTCAAAAAGCTGGCCCTGGTTAGCGGCGCCATCTCCGTACAAGGCAAAAGTGACATAATCCTCTTTGGAGTATTTCTGAGCAAAGGCCAAGCCAATACCTAGAGGAACCTGAGCCCCAACTATCCCATGTCCCCCGTAGAATCCACTATCCTTCTTGTAAAAGTGCATCGAGCCTCCTTTCCCCTTAGAGCACCCGCCTTTTCTCCCCATGAGCTCCGCGAACGCCTCGAACAGCGTTCCCCCGCGGGCGAGGTAGATGCAGTGGTCTCGGTAGGCCGTGATGATGCAGTCCTTCTTGGTAATCGCGGATTCCATGCCGACGCAGACGGCCTCCTGGCCGTCGTACAGGTGGCAGAAGCCGCGGATGAGTTTGGCCTTGTAGAGCGAGTCGGAGGCGATCTCCATTCGCCGCATCAGCGCCATATCTCTGAAGAACCCCATCAGCTCCTTGGGGCTGGTCTCGACGGAGCGCGAAGGAGGATCGATCCTGTGGGCGCTGAAGGGGAGGTTTGTCTCCACTGTGATGGCGGCGGAGGAGTCCACTGAGAGATGGCGGATGTACGACGACGCCGCCGACAGCGGCTTCAGGAGAATACCACTTCGACTCGCCGACAAAGCCATTTCTGGTCGGAATATTGGATTCCGGCGAGTTTCAGATCTAAGAGGACTGAATCTGCGTCCAAGTTTACGGGTTTGGTTCAATAGTGAGAGAGAGTCGGCTAAGTGTTATCCAACCAATTTCTCTATTTAAGACTAATTATTACTGTATTTATTATATTATATCCCTTTTTTGCTTAAATTTTTCTAATTTGGAGGTCAACCAAATATTTTTTATTTTTTAAAAATAAAAAAATAAAATTTTAATTCATATGAACGCCCGTTAGCACACACTCTCGGACTGGTATACGCAATACACATCAAATTTGTATTTATATTTTATTTTTAGAACCTAACGAAAAACCTCGTATTTTTTGATATTATGATAATAGTTTACGGGTGTCACTTTTAGTAACTTTTGTTGACTAAAAGTAATGTCAAATATAACACATAATTAAAATTTGATATTATTCAATAATTAAAGAACCAAAAGTATATGAACAGATACTACAATGTAATAGAGCTAGTAGCATTCAAAAAAAAAAAAAAAAACCAAAAGTATAATTCCCTTTTAAAAAGTTAATATAATAATTAAATATTAAATATAAAAAATAATATAACAACGTATGTAATTAATATAGGAAATACTCCGTATAATTTTAGTTAAACAAATGTAATATGATTATCTTATAAGTTGATACTCAATTTGATCCCTCAATTATTGACATTTGTTAATTTATATAGTCAACTTTAAATGCTTCTTATTTTGGTGCTTGATTATTGAATTTATACCTTATTTAATTTTCCGTTGGGAAATTTTTTGACTTATGTTAAATTCAAAGGTATTACGGTTATTTTCGTAGTTAGAAGACCAAAATAAATAGTTTTTAAAGTCCATGCATGAACCAAATTGGGTTAGGTTGGTTTACTTTGTAGTAGTGATCCTTTATTGGCTAGGGATTTAGGATTTCAATGTATAATTTATTCTGTGTACTCTCGATTACGAGTTTTACGAGTTTCCCTCATCACTCAAATTGATTAGTACAATTAATCAATTTTGTTTAAAGTATTAATATGTATAAAAAACATAACTACCCTTATACAAAATATATAATAATAATAATAATACATAATTTTTTTCCAACAAAATACTGAAAACAATCCAATGATAGTAGCAATGTTCCTAAAATATAAATATGAATAATGATTAATTGTCAACAAGAAATCTTTTGATCCATTGTAATCTTCGGTTAGGATCAAGATTGAGAGGCTTGAGGAAGGAAAGATCAATTTTCTGAGAGGCAGGGAAGGGTCGTGATAATGCCATTCCATCCCCACCATCAGATTGGGGAAAGAAACAGAGGCAAAATTCGAAAGAGGGGCAACGGCCATACCTGTTTGATTAGTCGCAAATGGCATGAGAGGCTTGAGGATGTTGATGGACAATTTTAATATAGTCATTGCAAGTGCACAAATGTGTGCTTAGCAAGGATCGATTCCACAACAATGCAATTTAATTACTTAAAAAAGAGTGGACAGAGAAAATAAAATTTGAATTACAGTGAAATTAAAACAAATAGAACAACTTAAAAGAATATAATAATCAAAAAGTAAAGGAAATAGAATTGGCGATTAGAATGGATGAATTAAATTAAATTAGTAATTCTCCATTCACCGCCCAGGAAGATTTTGAAACAAAAATTGCCAAGTTTCTGGAAAAGTGATGTCGAAGGACAACACTGCTGGAGTGGAGATTTCACAGCTGCCACCGCCGAAGAATTGTTACCGACCGGAGAAACCGCCGTAATAGTTTGGTATTGCCGTCTGAGAACTGCCGCGAACCACCGGAAATCTCCGGAATTGGTCCGGAGTAATTGATATCTTCTCCCTTTGAATGTCTTCCTTTTTATATTGTTCCAACACCAACAACGTTTTCCTCAAGCTCCGCACTACTCCATGGCCGACTAACGCTCTGCACGTCAAAGCTATGGCCGAAGAAAGTGGTTCTGCGAGATCTCTTTTTTCGCGTAGTTATTGTTGACTGGGATGACCATTTGAGCTTAATGGGCTGATCAAATAATACTAACTTGGGAATTAAAAGATACAAAATTCTAAAAGTAATACGGAGTAAAATAAGAGTCCAAACTTATTAACTTAACAAAACTTTACTTATTAATAATATTAGTTTTTTACGCGCATTGCGCGATTGGGATAATGCCCAATGCTTTTTTTTTTTTTAAATAAATACTTTAAAGTATATTAAGGCAGGATTATATTGAAATTGTTCATGTATAGATAATTGAAGGTTGAATTTGCGTATTTAAATAGGTAATTCTTCTCCCAAAGGTTGAGTTCCCAACCCCAAGGACCCCCCACACTCCGACCCGACAGAGCATTGTGGGAAGTTGATTTAGGTTGAGTCCCCAACCCCAAGGCCCCCCCACACTCCGACCCGACAGAGCATTGTGGGAAGTTGTAAATCACGGTGACTCAATGGTTCAGCAGACAGGGCCAAATGCTGATACGCACAAGGAATCTGCCCACTTTAGACATAATTCCCGCACTGCCGCCGCCGAGGTTCAAACCTTGGTCTCTTCTCCCAAATACTACCCACTAAACCATTGAGCTAAGCCCGTGCGGGTTAAATAGGTAATTCCAAGTTTACAAATGTAAGACAATATAGTCAAGATTGATTATAATTGTCAATAAAATAATTGTATAGGTATGGTTGAAACCAAATACGGGACATAAGGGAGAACAAATAAAAATTAGGGCATAAAATATTAAATATATACTAATATTGTTTGAGGAGATTCCAACATTAGGATTTGTGGTTAAGTTCTATTAAGACTTTAATATTAGAATTAGATTAATGGTGTAGTTATAATTCTATATTAGACTTTAATATTAGAATTAGACTAACGGTGAATTAACAGAAAAGTTAAATGGATAATCATATAATTAAGGATAAATTAGAAAATCTTAAAAGAAAAAAATTAAAACCTGAACAATATGAATCATTCATTTGATTTAATAATTTGGCGGTCATTTTTTCTACCCAATGTTAATAATTAAATAAATTCGCTTGTCAAATCCGCTAGTATAATCCGCTAACGCTAACCGCTTACTGCTGATTGTCAAACAAGGACATTGCGAGGTAGTTCTCACTTCAATTTGTTGTGTGATTTGAATACTCTCTTTGTCACAAAATCTCTCAAGTAGTTAATATGGTTGGCTTTATTAATTATATTTTTTTTAATTTTTTCATGGTATTAATAAAATACTTGGTAAATAAATATATAGCATTATTTTGTATTATAACTTTGATATTTAATTAGAAAAATAGTGCACAAAAAAGATAATAGATAATGTAGTGAATATAATCAATTGATGAATTTTAATGTAAAAATTTTTACATTTGAGAAAAATAAAGACAATATAACTAATGAAAATATTTCTTTTAATTAATTTATTGATAGTTAATAATAATTTTTTTCACTGAATAAAGACATTGTAAGGACAATGTTGCGAATATAATCAATTAATAAATTTGAATATAAAGAATTTTTATATTGAAGAAAAATAAAGACAATATAACTAATAAAATTATTTCTCTTATTTAATTTATTGATAATAAATAATTTTTTTTTTTGAATAAAGGCATTGTGGACACATAATTCTAAATTAAAGAAATGCATATATATTATTTTTTGTTATAACTACTAAATTATTATTTATATAATTTAATAAGAGTAAAATAGAGTACTAATTATGCCAACTTTGATTGGGATGAGGTTCGAACCTAAGACTTTTTTTTATTGAAATCAATGAGTAAGTTAACGGTGAACTAACGGCAATTCTTAAAATTTTAACGGAATTAGTAACGATGTATGGGTATTTTAGGAAATTTTAGTGTAAAATTTAAATCTGATCAATCTTTTAATCAATCTGAACCATTCATTTGATTAAAATCTGTGACCGCCATTTTTTTTACCCATTATAGGCCTAACTCTCTTGGGCTCTTATTAGTACAGTAGATGTTAGGAATATAGCGGAATAATGCGGAAGCGAATAATCGAAAATTGAGAATTATAGAAGTTAAATAGTAAGGAAAATATAATAAATGACAAATAAATATAACATAAAATGGAAAATATGAAATATATATATTAATCTCTACAAAGAGAGATAAAAGGAAAATATATATATATATATATATATATATATATATATATATATATATATATATATATATGCTCTACGTGTGGGACAAAGAAAGAAAGGAGAAAGAATTCTTAATTGAGGTGCATTTACAAAGCAAAATACTAATGCTATTTATACACTCAAATGAGGAGATAAAAACGGCATGTTAATTGTGGAGAGTCAAATGCGGAGACAGACATGCAATGTGGAATGCAACGTGGAGGAGATGAAGGAAAATGTCTCCATGAATTTTAGCCACAAATTATTGTCTTAACAATCTCCACCTTGGATCAAATTCACTGTGAAAATTAACAATCGAAACAGCCGATTAAACTCAAGCACTGCTTGAACTTAGTGATATGTAGAGGCTTGGTGAGCATATCTGCTGGATTCTCCAATGTATGAATCTTCTGAACGACTATATCTCCCGCAGCTACAACATCTCGAATAAAATGATATCTGACATCAATGTGTTTGGTTTTGGCATGATAGGTATCATTCTTGGTGAGATGGATAGCACTTTGACTATCAGAGAACACAATAGTGTGACCTTGTGAAACACCAAGTTCCATAACCAAACCCCGTAGCCAAGTAGCTTCTTTGACACCTTCTGTTGTTGCAATATATTCCGCCTCAGTCGTAGATAACGCAGCAATAGACTGAAGCGTAGCTTTCCAACTGATAGCACAATTACAAAGAGTGAAAATATAACTGGAAAGCGACCGACGTCTGTCAAGATCACCACCATAATCAGAATCTACAAAGCCCACAATATCAGTAGATGTAGAAGAATTTCGATCAAAAACCAAGCCCAAAGACGAAGTACCCTTTAGGTACCGTAGAATCCATTTAACGGCGTTCCAATGTTCCTTACCAGGGTTATGCATGTAACGACTCACA